TACCTCACATCACGTCTACATGACCAAGTGGCCGTCTGCAAAGAATATATGTTAAAATGACTTCCGCCAGACAGCGACTGGCTCTTTTCCTTCTTTATAATTCTTCTGCAGATGCCAAAACTTGAAATGTAGCTGTGTTCTTCAGATATGCTTTAGCACTAACGCTTTTCCCCAACACTAACATTTTGAAACTAACTAGTTTGGGCCCTGCCTATGTCATTTTTCAGAAACCTTCATGTTATGCCTCAAGTGCTGTTTTTTGCATTAAAATTAACTTGCTATACTATTAAACAGCTCATGGTAATCTGTCAATGCAATTTGTGGTTCATGACTGGTACTTAAAAATAGAGGATGTTTTGAACAAGCTTAGCAACACTTTATATTACAACACTGCAATTCCTGTGCATGCTTGTGGTTACATTAAATATAATGAATTTAAAACATACTATTAGTTGTCTTTGCTCTTAAAGGAATGTTCTGGGTTAAATACAAGTTTATGACATGCTCTCAATTACCACAGGAAATCATTTTAACTCATTTGGAAGAACTTGCTAAACTCGCGTTTGCAGTAATGCTCTTAAAATGGAAGTCTATAGGGCATTACATTGTAATAATAATCAAATACAGTATGCACAGTTCTGAAAGTACAACCATAAGACTTAAACATACAGTGGGTACGGAAAGTATTCAGACCCCTTTAAATTTTTCACTCTTTGTTATATTGCAGCCATTTGCTAAAATCATTTAAGTTAATTTTTTTTCCTCATTAATGTACACACAGCACCCCATATTGACAGAAAAACACAGAATTGTTGACATTTTTGCAGATTTATTAAAAAAGAAAAACTGAAATAACACATGGTCCTAAGTATTCAGACCCTTTGCTCAATATTTAGTAGAAGCACCCCCTTGTCTGTGTAAGCTTATATACAATATTTTATTTCCTTATTTTAGTCTTTTAAACCCTTTGGAATACCTTGCCCCATAGACTTCAATTGAAAGAGCATTACAGCATAATTTTGTCAAGGTTTTGACAAACAAATGGACGAGTCAAATTGTTTTCTGTGGTAATCATAGATGCTGTTGATAGAGGTGAACTTGTATTGAACCTGGAATATTCCTTTAACCCAGCTACAAGCTTCACCAAAGCATTACACAGAGTAGATAACATTTATAAGCCAACAAATACACACAAATGCGGTCCTGTAATACAAAGTGTCCTTTCAAAAACTTTTACTGACTAAACCATTGTACAAGAACGATCATTGCTTAACCCCATCAAGTATCCATCACTCAAGTGTCAGGCTGCTAAAGCTATATCCCTTTTGATTTCCCCTTTTTCTGTTGGTTTTTCGTGTTCGTAAATGATCACACCATATGCAGTATGCCAGTCCTAACCCATACTGCAACATGAAACACTTCTTGACTGTTCCAGGCATTATTGAACAATAATATGGTTTGTTTTCATGGATCTTTAGTTTAGACCCGCTCATCTAGTTGAAGAGCTACAAATCACATTGTGAATCTGATTAGCGATTAGCAAAACTGCTTGTTTGCATTTACTTGGCCTAGAAGATTATATCAGCTGTGGTCAGAACCAGGCAATTTAGTTGTACGTTCAAAGCTGAGCATGTAACCACACATTCAGTTCTACGCGTTTAGCTATGTAAGATTAATTTGCCTCTTGATGTAGGCAACCCTCACTGGTTGTTAAGTAAATGTGACACTCATTATCAAGCGTTTTTTAATCACTTGATCTTTTTATTGCATTACAAGTAGTGGGAACATGCAGCTTTGCTAAAATAGGCATTTGTTCCATAGGGCACCAAAAATCAAAAAATATTTCAGTGCATACCCATGTTTTTATTTTTTAGATGACCCTGTGGCACAAATGTTTTTGGATAGTTTGAATGTACAGTATTTGTGATGTGTTAGAATTGTGTCTTCAGCTAAATATCTAATCAAATTTAAATATTTCCTTATTTTGCGATTTTTTAATTTTTTAGATTCAAAACAAAATCTTGATAAATCAATATTATGTGCATATACTATACCATTCAAAAGGGTTGGTAAGATTTTTTTTATGTTTTTGAAAGTACCTTATGCTCACCAGGGCTGGATTTATTGATTAAAACTCAAGTAAAAACCGTAATATTGTGAAATATTACTAATTTAAATAATGGTTTTCTATTTTAATATATTTTCAAATGTAATTTATTCCTGTGATGGCAAAGCCTAATTTATTACTACAGTCTTCAGTGTCACACGATCCTTCAGAAATAATTCTAATATGCTGATTTGCATGTGCAAGTAACATTTCTGATTATTATCACAGTTGGAAAAAGGTTGTGCAGCTTAATATTTTTGTGGACACTGATATATATATATATATATATATATATATATATATATATTTATTTTTTTCAGTATTCTTAAATAAAAAATTTTAAAGACAATTTAAACCTTTAAATTTGTAACATTATAAATGTATTTACTCTCACTTTATCGATTTAATGTGTCCTTGTTGAATACATTTTTAAAAAATAATAAAAAAAAATCTTTCTGACACTTGACTTTTGAACAGTAATGTGTATATAATGTATATGTGTGTATATATATATTCATTACCATTAATAGTATTATATATTTTCTATAATATTATAGATAGATAGATACACAGCTGAAAACACATTTTATAGTTAATCTCAGTATATGTATAAATTTAATGAGTTTTCTCTTTGTTTCTCTCCTCGGTGCTCATCTACGCAGGTTCGACCCACATCACTGGCCCCACCCCGCTTCTGGACGCCCTCAAGGCCATGAACAAACCCGACGAGGAGCAGACAAGCTAAAATCACAACTTCCTTCCCCCCAACCCCATCGCCCAGTTACCCTCTCCCTCCCTTCATCCGTTGCCATGTAAATCGCACCCGCTCCTATATAAATTGTGTATGCATCTTGCTTGAGAGAAAAAGAAAAAAAAAATAGATGATTGATGACAAGTTAAAAAGAATATTCTATTAATGTATATCTATTTAAATATATATAATGTTGAAATAAAAGAATCATTGCAAGTATTCTTCTGTTTTACAATGGATGCAAATGATTAGACTGTCAAACTGAGTTTTCGTTTTGCCATTTAAAACTCTGAAAGTACCAAATGTAATATTGTATGTCATGGAACCTGCTAGAATGCGTAAATGGCAGATCACTTTTTGCGTTTGTTCCTTATTTAACTTTTTTTTTTTTAATGGTTTGAAAGTGGTTGGGGGAGGGACTGGTTTGTATGCAAATAGACCAGTGAGGCAAAATGATGCATATCACTTCCTACACTGAAGGCTAAACTGCCACCCAGTTTAGATGCTTGGGTTTAATTGTTGTCTCATTTTAGATATGCATGCCATGGATGCTACTATGTGGCCCTTTTGACATGTTTTAAAATGCTGGAAAAAAGTAAAAAATAATATAAAAAACATGTGTAAAAATGAAACAATGAGCATCTTCTGGGACACCAGTGATGAAGAGGAAGGAGGCCAAAGGAGTAACAGATCAAAGCCTCAAGCTGTAAAAGTGAAAGAGACACTGTACATAGATAGCGGACGTCACCCCTCCTTCAGTCGTGATTCCGGGAGCATTTACTCCATCTCCTTTTCTTTTCACGTCTCCTTCTACAGAGACCTCATGATTTAGTGTGAAGAAGGCCGTTGCTTGCAGATGTTTAAGGAATTCAAAAAAAGGGCCAGTTGTATTTCAGTATTGTATCTCGTCCGATTAAGTCTTATCATTGGTTAGTAAACAATGTTTAACCGGGACATGCACGGAGTAGCGTGTTGTTGTATGCCATATGTTACTGTTTTTTTCGTCTCACTGTTGACTGGTGAAAATTTCTGACTGTGAAGTAGTAAAACTTTCCTTTGCCAAAGTGAAGCCACTGTGTCTGTGACGTATTAGCTGTAGCTGTAGTGATAAACTAGGAAAAAATAGGTAATATCTATCTTTCGTTTGTCCGTCTGATAGTTTCTTTCTGGTGTAATGTTATATCTTCCACTGGTGAATGGCTTTGCAATGAAACACAACACCCCTTTTTAATGTTTCGGTTTCAGTTTCCTCTTTACTCTGTTCTGGCAGAAAGGTTGTATATTGCACTATGCGTTTTCTGTGATGCAAACACTTCTATGGTTCTCTCTCTTTTAAATTTTTACCTTAATTTGGGTTTGCTGTTGTATATCTGTGTCGACTGGATTGATTTCTATTCAATTTATTTTTCAGAGAATATCAATAAATAAGAAGTAGTCCATCCTAAACCTGTTGCTCTTACTGGGATTCTATGTTTGCGAGTGTTGAAGCACAAACTAAAGTATACTTCATGTGTACCGATGTACTAAGGCTGTCTAATAAATTGGCTTCCATTACAAATATGCAATCAGTACATTTTTGGACGTGCTCTGTACATGATTTCCTCTGGATTGCAATAGTCTCCTTTTTTCTTGTATGAACAAAATTACATTGATTTGTATGGTAATGCATGATTTATAACAGGGTTCCAAACCAGTTTGAACACTGAATTGACAAGTTTTTTTAATATTATGCAGATGATTAAATACATATTTAATAATTCCAGACCAGGAAATGGCTGCCTGTTATTTGCAGCTTTTTCATGATCGTGCATAGGAACCCTGTTATATCAAATTAATATTGTTGTGGACTGTTTGATTAGCCACTAACCTTGATCACTAGTTTCTGACTACGTGATATACTAGCTGGCTCTCAACACAGATTTGCAGCTACAGGAAGGTCAAGAGAAGGTCCAGTCCTTTATCTTGAGAAAAATGAATCTTGGTGAAATAGCTGTAAGGAAATATGGCAACATCACACACCTTGTCAAATATTATAGAAACATTTATAGTAGTAAATATAGTATAAAAGTACAGCTCTATAAATACAAAACACATGACAGAAACATTATAATTAATTAAATTTGCCTAACCAGGTGATGCCCAAAATAATCAATATTGCATAACCTATAAAAACTTACACTAATAACTAATCCGTTTTTGTTTCCACAACGTGAAATGCATGCTGTTCTTTTCACACTGACCTCAATGCTGCTACAGACTCTTCTAGGACTTAAAGTATGCTGGACTCTATATACTCCACTCAATCAAACTGCTTATTTTGACTGTGGGGTAGAAAACCATGTCACACATGCCTTTACATTAAAAAGGTTATGCCGTTTGGAAATTCTAAGTAAACAAATACAGCACAAAAGTATGGTAATATAAATAAAAACTCTAGAGTAGCACTATACCCATTTTCTCCCTATTAGAAAAAAATGAAGATTTAAAAACCTGTCACTGACAGATTTATAAACAAAACCGGTTCACCTTCACACTGTGAAAGTACATATAAATCTGTTACATTATTTGGATTTTCCAGAAAAAGGTGTACTACAGTGGACCCAAAAGTATTTGGACATTTAAACCACACTTAAACATGCATTAATGTCTTGGCATTATGTAACAAAAAACAGACAACTGACTCTCCAAAACAAATGCTTTTAGTGGATATATGAAGTCCTCAAATTCACACAGGTGCCCTAGCATAGTGTATTTCATCACAGCTATAAACATGTTCTAATGTAAACTCCATTTTGAACAGTATATTTATGGTTTTTTAAAACCTAAAATGTATACATCTTTAAGTGTGGCCTAAGATTGGTCTAATATTTTTAGGGGTCACTGTATGTACAAACTTAGAATGTTTAAGCTGCCATAATGCAGCTATCAGCTCTAACAGTAGCTACAGCACACCTGAGACATCTCACATTTTCCATCATTTTCCACTGCAGCATTGCATGTCTGCATCAGTCACACCACTACGAGAAAAACAGTTGTTTTTGTAAACTAATAAAAATGAATAAATGTCGCTTTGGATAAAAGCGTCTGCTAAATGAACAGATGTAAACGCTGATGTCAGTAGGTGCAGGATGAGGTGAGGAAGCTACTGCTGTGCAGTCCTGAGGTCAGAGAGTGAGCCATGCGATGCGAGACCTCTCTCATGTTTTTAGCTGCCGTGATGGCACGGGTCAGAGAGCTGTCTAGAGTGTGCTGCTGATGGTCCAAAGAGACCGATCGTCTGCGATGACCTCTGACCCCTGGCCTCTCATCTCTGACAGGACTGACTGAGATGTTAAAGGGTTGTGAGTAGGCCTGTGACGTCACAGGACCGGAGAAGTAACTGTGGGAAAAGGACACAGAGCGCTCAGTCTGATGTGGACAGTGACACCAGAGGAGTTAGTTGTATGTTACTTAAAACTAATTGTTAAAAAAAATTTAAGAAATATATTTTCTTTAAATTAAAGAAATATATAATAATTATATGAATAGTATTATGTAATATAAATATTATAGAAATATATAATATTTATACTACCATTCAAAAGATCGGGGTAAGACTTTTTTTTTTTTTTAAGAAATTAACTTTTATTCAGCAAGACAGTATAGTGATAGTAAAAAAAAATTTGCAAAAATTGCAAAAATTTTCCATTTCAAATAAATGCTATTATTAAATTGAATAAAAATAAATTATTAAATAAAAATGTTATTTAAAAATAATAATATACAGTAGGGTTCAAATGTCTGAGGCCACTGTAGAAAATACTTATGCTTTACTTTTTTATTCTAGAAACTTCATTCCATCAACAAATTATTGCATATTATGGAAGCCCATTTCCACCACGGGGAAGAAAAAAATAAAAATAAAAAATGCGACTTTTTATCTCACAATTCTGACTTTTTTTTCTCCGAATTGCGAGTTTATATCTCGCAATTCTGACTCTTTTTCTAGCAATTGCGAGTTATAAAGTCAGAATTGTGAGATGTAAATTTGCAATTCTGAGAACATATTAGCAGTTCTGACTTCTTTTGTCTCGCAATTCTGACTTTATAACTCGCAGTTATAAATTCAGTTTATAATCACAATTCTGAGAAAAAAAAAGTCAGAATTGTGAGATAAAAAGTCGCATTTTATTTTATTTTTTTTATTATTTATTAAATGTTTTTATTTATATCTCGCAGTTCTGACTTCTTTTCTAGAATTGTGAGTATGTCTCGCAATTGCGAGTTTATATCACGCAATTCTGACTTTACTTTAAACAGGCTTCCATAGTATATTATCAACACAAGTGAAAAATTAATTCAAAGCTTGAATTTCAGAATAATTTGGATCATGAATCAGAATTATCTGAAATCTGACGAATCTGATATTTTATTTTAATTTGTCATTATCTTCTAATTATTTCTTCATTTTACATCACAATGTTTTTTGTTTTGCATTTTTGAAATCCTAAAACTTTGTTTCCCTCCATGGTCAAATTAGATTTTGAATCCCAGACTTTCACAGCGGTCTCAGACGAGTTTTAATCAAGCCTGCAAAACTCATCGACAGAGGAAGTTGTTCTCATACATTTTTAGAGCCTGATTCATTGATCAAAGCAGCTGGAGAGGAAGAAGCAAGTAAATTAAGCTAATGGCCACTTTATCCCGAGGTACTCACAGAGTTGAAGGATAGACGGGCACATATGGGACAACTGGAACACCTCCCAGAACTTTGGGGGGAGGAGCCACATTCACACCTCCTCTGTCCCTCTGTAAGGAGGATCTCATTGGCCGACTCCCTCTGGGGGTGGAGACTGGCTCCTGATTGGCTAAATAAACACTCATATAAGGGGTCAACATGATTCTTGGTGATAAAAGTTGTATTAGGTGAATATTTTACATTTTCTGGACACACTGTAAAAAAAAAGTTTGTAGATGATGTGTCAAACCTGGTTGAGAGGCCCTTTTATTGGCTTGTAATGCACCACACAATGGGCAATGGCTGCAGGAAGGCTGTGAGAGATGTGAAGAGCTCCTACTCCTCACTGGACCTTTAATTAATAGTGTAAAGGACAGGAGGATAATTTATGAAATGTAAGCTCAGTAAATTTTAAACCCCATTATCATGATGGAGGTAAGATGCTTGCTTACGTGTCAAGGAACCAGTGCGGTCTGACATGCAATGTGGGCAGGCAGGTTCTGGTCCTCGGCTTGATTCGGTTTCATCTCTATTGTCAGATCTGCCTGCTAATGTTTAATTAAAATGACCACAATGTGTTCATGACCACCATACGAAAACTGGTAATTTATGCTGAATTATGAGGTCTTTTCTTACATGTACTGTCCTCTTTGTGACTTCCAAATCCTCTGGTTTGTCCTCTTCCTCGTGATGTCATAGGGGACATCAGGACATGTCTTAAAGTTGATGGTCGTGGCTCAGATTGGACAAGCTCCGAATTAGTCGCTAAAGGGTTAATAAGACACAGGGCGAAAAAGTAATTACAGATTCAAACAACATTGCATCCAAGTGTCATTTAGGACCGTTAAGAAAATCTGTTTGCCTCCTTATGTATTCTACTGTAACTTCAAAAGATTAACATGGAGCTAAACGTACTTGGATCAGTTTGAGGCCGATGTCGAGGTAAAGATGCGGATCTTGGCGAGTTTCCTCTCTCTTGTTCTCCATTCCTCCCTCTCTCTTTCTGCTGCCTTCTCCTGTCTGAAGACCTAATAAATAAGGAACATAATAAAATCACTTTTATGACTTAAAAGTTTTAGGTAACACACATAATTTTGGACAGTCTAAGATCATAGATTTCCGGTACCTTGTGGTCTGTGGGGAAGCCTGATCCCTGGTATCTTCTGTGGCAGAAGAGGGCACTCTGACAGGACTGGTAGGTTTGGAGAGTCTCAGATTTCCCTCTAGTCTCTCTTTCAATCGGTTCACTTCTTGCTGTAGAGATCGAAGAGCCTCTCTGAAACACATAAACAGCATTTAAAAGGCATTTTTTGTAATCTGAAGAAAGAACAAAACGGATGTAATTAAAATCAGATAAAAAAAAAAAAAGTGTATCTGGAAGTCAGTTCTGGCTTTTTCATGCTATTAGTTGTTTATACATCAGGTGTTGCAACAAAGGAAAAACAACAGGGTATTTTAAGTGTGGGTTTATGGGTACACTACAATTTTTTTTAAACATTGAATTGATCAAGTGACAGTAAAGATATTTTATAATAGATAATGTTATAAAATGTATTTTTTAAATACATGCTGTTTTTGAACTTTTTGTAAGTCAAAGAATCCTGAAAAAAGTATATCACAGTTTCCACCAAAATATTAATCTGCTCTACTGTTCTCAACATTATTAATAATCATAAATGTTTCTTAAGCACAAAAATAGGCTTTTTAGAATGATTTCAGAAAGATCATGTGACACAGAAGACTGGAGTAAAGGCTGGAAAAAATTCAGATTTGTCAACAGAAATAAATAAAATTTTTAATTTATTTAAAAATTTAATAATTTTGAGCGTAAAAACACAGAGTGAGCTAGCAACTTAGCAAGCCGAGTCATGTTCAAAAGTCCCAAGTCATGTTTTGCTTCTCTGTTAGAGTTAAGATCAAAACAGGGTTTAGAAATAACCATTCCAGTGCGGAGCAAAAAGAGCGTTACAGGCACTGCAAGAAGTGGTGGGTGTGTGGATGTGGGTAGGTGAATATTTTAATCATCAAATACACACAGAGGGTTACTGTTTTATTAATAGCTAATGGTGATTAATGCTGGTCTCTTGATGCGGAGCTGAATACATACCAGTGCACTCTTCAGCTAGTCTATTTGACAGACAAACTCCTGCTGAATCACAGAAAGGAAAGAATGAAAAATAAATCTAATTATCCAGATGGAACTCTGGCTGCCGTGAAGTGAAAAATTATTTCATAGAGACCACTTAATACCACTGGAGTTTTTCCCAGAACTCCTTTACAGTAAAGCCCTGGCTCAAAAGAGCAGCCATAAATCTCTGCTTGTTTGTGCTGCAGTGGCCATGTCAGCTTTTTGGAAACTCACTGCTGATTTGTTAGCTGAATGGAACTTTGGGCTTTGAGGTGGTCACCGTGGTGATTAGGCACATGGAGGGAAGGGCTTCTGTGAGAGCGGAGCTGCTGATTGGCTGGTTGTGGGTACTGGCCATCCTGTGATTTCTCATCCCCTGATAAGAAACGGACTGAGGAAAGAAGAGTATAAGCAGGATGCAGAGAGAGAAAAAGGATGACAAGAGAAATTCAGGACCAGTATTAATGATGGGTTCAAACATCAGCATTATTCAAGACAAGATATTTTTATGGTTGGTTGGTGTTTTACTGCCATGCCAGCTTCCTTGGCTATTTTTATGGCAAGTAGCCATAAATACCATGAAATATTATGAAAGAGCAAAAAACACTACATTTGCTCTAAATGATTCAGGGTTGAATTTTCAAAAGCGTTTCATTTTGTTATGCAACTAAATGTATATATATATAGACAATAGGACGTAAGTTATCATTAACCTCAACCTGGATTCATTAAAAAAAACTAAATTATTATCTAATGTTGATATATTTCCAATTTTATGTATTATTTTTATTATTCATTTTATTTATTATTTTAGGTTAATGTTAATTGATATACTATTGTTGATTGTTCATTTAGATTAAAAATAAATTATGTTAATTTATCAAGCCTGAAATTTTTAATTTTTTTAGTATTGTATATTAAGAAATTAACATTAGGTTAATAAATGCTGTAAAGCATGTGAAAGTATTATTCAGTTAGTTCAAGATACTCATGATTACATACACATTATATATATACACGTTTTTCATTTGAAATGTCAAACCTACACCCACCCTGATCACTCCCATGCTCTGATTGGCTGGTCAGGCTGCTCGGCCAGGGCAGGAGGGTGCTATTGGGCCAATGAATGGGGGATAATGAGGGAGTAAGGCTGGAAGAAGAACACATTTCCTCCCCTCTTCTCCTCCTCACAGGACCCATGCATCCTTCAGACTTGGTGAGGTGTTCTCCTTGGGTATTTGGAGAGGGTTGTGATTGAGTGGGGGAGATGGCAAAAGGCTGTCTAGCAGGAGGAGCAGACTCTGGTCTTTCTGTGTTCACACGCGGGCCAGACGGCCCGATGGAACTGGAGAAGACATCAAAAAGAGGAAAATATAAAGGTACTGTATATAAATTCCCTAAGACAGCAAAGACAAACAGATTTTTATATTTTCTGAAAAATGTATGGTTTTTGTTGATCTTGTCTCCTATTTTATCATCAGGTGGAAAATTGTAAGTTTCATACGTAAAGCACGTCTCTCCTCAATGAGCCGTAAGATTTGAGGTATCAGGCACAAATAGTGCAGGATGAGTCCCTAACCCTAAGTATGAGCAGAAGCACCTCTAACACATTATATTTCAGTGGTTTCTTATTTAATTATGGGTCACAGGATCAAATTCGAAGTGCTTTATCAAGTGAAGGTGCTTCATACCTCGCCACTGCCCTCTGCTGGAGAGGACTGTGTACTGCAGGAGTGAGCTGACTCTCAGAGCCCATAAAGCCACTGTCTGTCTCTGGAGACTTAACCCAATCCTACAATGTTAAAAATACAAGTAAGAACTCTACTAAAATAAAATTAAAACTATTATTCATGCACATAAAGTAATAATCCTTTAGATATGATATATAGTGTTGTTCATCACAAATAAAGCAGTCACTGACCAGAGGAGATGCTCTGACAGTCTTAGCCTTTGCTTTTAAACCCATAGTTCTGGGTTCTGTGCTCTCTGCCAGGCTGGTCAGGCTACTGCTTTGAGTTTTCCTGTTTCCTGCTATTTTCCTTTCCCTGCCCGGTTGCCCTGGCAACACCGAGGAGTGGCAAAGAGCCTCTAGGTGAGTTTCCATAGAGTCACACACCTGTGACCTGACAGATGGGCCGGAGGGAGGGACACAATCTGCTGCTGCCTGCCTAAAGAAAGAGAGAATGGAGAGATGAATGAGAGCGCAAACAGCCAGGTGTTGATAATGGTGGAGTGGACTGAACTGCTGGCACCCTCAATTACCTTATTAAACCTGATAACAACATATAGCTGATGTTTAGATCACAAACACAGAAATATCATTATGATGTCTGTGACAAATAACTTTCTATCACAGAATTAGAATAAGCTGGTAGAATGTTAATACGAAGAGGAGTTTCTAAACAGTGTTATAAACTAAAACTGATGCGTTCACTTAAATCAAATAATAATAATAAAATAAATGTCAACTAAAACAAAACAGAAAAAAATATTTTGCTTTATTTCAGTTAGTTGCCAAAGGAACATTTATACATTTTGTTTAGTTTCAGATGGTCCTAAAATTAATTGAAACTGAAAATAACTACTCTAAACCTGAAATAAAAGAAATTAAAAAAACACTGAATAAAAAATGTGATAATAAAATAAGAAAAAAAAATATATATAACTTTTTTTATGAATAAAAAAATGTTAATACAAAAAAATAAAAATGGAAATAAATACTACAATACTATATTAACAATAATAAAATAACACTTTCAAAATGGGCAGGGCTTATCAGCCAAGAAGTGTCATTTCTCTCAAGGTTTGTTAGTATGGCCCAATCACAGTGATGATTAAATAATGAAATAATTATTCACAGATTACTGGAGAAGATCAGGCACTCACAAACATATAATATCCCTCTCTTCTCTGACATATTGCTAACATACCTAATGTTCACTCATCCTATTCTTTACTGCCTTAAGTTGCCAACCATTTACTAAACTAAACATTTGTAAAGCTGATGTAAAATAGGCTCATGACTCACTGCTGAGCAGATGTCGTCGTCTTTTTCTCATTAAAAATCCTGTGTTGTTGTCTGTCCGTTACACTTGTATTCCCAAGAGAAGCAGAGTCTCCAAAATAAAGCAAGTCATGGCTCTTTAAAGTCACAGTTGGGTCCAGCATCCCAGGCAGCTCTTTAAAACTCTGATAGCTGGGTATAAAAACAACAAGAGATTGAGCTTGACATGTAAAGCTGTTTGTTCTTACATATGCTGGTCAACGGTCACTCACCAGTCCACGAGCTTACTGAAGTCTCTCTCTACTCGCTGGTGTTTGACATGGATGGGATGAAGAAGAAATGGGAGGATCTCTTCTTCCTCCTCTCCGTCTGCATCACTCTCTCCGCTAACTGAACTAACCTCCACACCAACACAAGCCTCAGGATGGACAGCAGACAGTGGGCTCTGAGAAAGAAGGAAGGGGGAAATCAGTACACTTCTGTTCTTTAGATCTGTGAGGTCAAAGTTTAGTGAAGTTTGGAGGTTAAGTCTGAGGCACCTCAGGCAGAGGTTCGGTCTCCAGCATGGACACACAGAGCACATCTGTAGGAGGGTTTAAAGTAGGTTCAGAAATGGGTTTGTTCTGTTCTGCTTGGTCCAGCCACTCCTTCAGCTCCTCCAATCGCATCCCTGACCTGAAGATCTGACCTTCTAGGTCCCTGTCTCACACACAAACACACAGTATGAATAGAAGTACTACAAACCAGCAGCACAGCAAACACAGCTTTGTCAATATTTGCATCAGCAACAAAATACAACAATTTAGTAACATTATGTCTTTATTGTCACTTAAAAGTATTCATTTCAAATAATTTTGGAATAGTAGTGTATTTATACATGCACATAAAAAGAGTCTACCTGTCTGGGTCAAAGGTGACATGCTTGCCTTTTCTCTGCTGCTGCTGCATCTGATACTGGGCTCGTGCATCTAGGTAAGCATGTTCAAGAGACTCCTGCCCCTGTGCCAGTGTGGAGAGACCCTGTAGATGAGTCAGTTCAGAGTCAGTCTGACTTCATGTCTTTAAAAAAAAAATTCACATTTTTAGAAAAGCGTCAGCATACCTTTATCTGTTCACAGGACTTGAGCTTCCCATTCTTTAGAAGTGCCTCAAAAGCATCAACCTGAAAAAACAAAGAAAAAAAAGATTAAGGGTTCACAGCACTGCTGTTAAAATAAAATGCCTGTTAATATGAATTTTGACATAATGACGGTCATTGAATAAAGTTAAAACTGCTTATTTTAAAGTACCTGTAGCTGAAATCTTTGAGTTTGTTTGGTCAGAGTCTCTGTTAGGTGGTTTGCAGTGAGAGATCCAGACCTCCTCGAGCTGACCGAGTTCACAGAGGAAGGACGAGTTGGTGTTTTTCTGCAGTTTTCTACAATGTGAATAAAGCAATTTTGAGATGATTTAACAAAATTGTTCAGTTTGACTGCAAAGTCATTTAGAAGAGATTATAAAACAGTTATGAAATTTCATTTTTATTTAAAATTTGATGCAAGGCATCAAATTCAAGCATAAATGTGGTTTTGATGCTTTTTAATATGTCACAGACTGCTTCCTTATAGTATTCCCTCTAACTCTAGCACACTCTATTCTAATTCTATTCTTTAAAAAAAACGTATCCCTTTTATACTTGCACTCTACTCATTTACTAACTGCTTGTTTTCTTCAAAAAAAAAAAAAAAAACCTAACACTAGCTTCTCTAATCTTTTTGTATTTATTTTATTTATTATACAATTAACAAAAGCAAAAAAGGCCTCTAACACTAGCTTGCTCCATTCTTTTTCTTTTTCTTTATTATATAATACAAAAAAACCTTGCTACGTGTACTGCGTTAAGCTAACTGAAACTTGTTATAGCACTTGCAAATAATTGCTCTTTTGTTGATTTTTGATGCTTCCATTATCCTCATTTGTAAGTCGCTTTGGATAAAAGCGTTTACATTTACAATGTAAATGTAAAATAATATCACAAAATACACATGAATAAACATCAGAAGATATGTTGAAAGAAAAAGTACAACTTAGTGAAATGTATCATGCCTTGCAATCGCTCAATCAGAGTTTCAATTGTGGAAAGACGTCAATAAAACCTCAGAAAACCAATTCAAAGTCCACAGCTTGCAAAAATAACACTGGAATATATATTCCACTATGTGTATGTATATATATATATATATATATATATATATATATAATTTTGTTGAATTACTACAAAAAAGAAATCAGCCAAGAAAACTATTTACAGAATATATGTTTGAGAATGATAATTGTGTGATTAAATACACAATACAAGCACACAGTTTTAAAGTGTCAGTGTGATGTACCCGAGTGATCCCTCTGCTGGAACAGGTGAGCAGAGCCTGCGCCGAACTCTGCCCTCTGCGCTTGAGGAAAACTGAGGGTTATGACCTTTGACGCTTCCTGAATAACACCTGACAGGATAGCTGTACTGGGTTTTGGGGGTTCAGAACAGAGACCTACCTGAAAACACATAGCACATACACAACAATAATGAGTTGATGGTCAAAGGGCCAAAAAATTACAAAGAAATCAGCAACCATCTGTCTGAAAAATCTACTTTGCCAACAATCCACAGGCCCATTACTATGCATAATGTCTTGTAATGCTAGAAAATCAATAAGAGTCTTGTGTGTATGATAATTGTGTGATTAAATACACAATACAAGCACACAGTTTTAAAGTGTCAGTGTGATGTACCCGAGTGATCCCTCTGCTGGAACAGGTGAGCAGAGCCTGCGCCGAACTCTGCCCTCTGCGCTTGAGGAAAACTGAGCGTTATGACCTTTGACGCTTCCTGAATAACACCTGACAGGATAGCTGTACTGGGTTTTGGGGGTTCAGAACAGAGACCAACCTGAAAACACATAGCACATACACAACAATAATGAGTTGATGGTCAAAGGGCCAAAAAATTACAAAGAAATCAGCAACCATCTGTCTGAAAAATCTACTTTGCCAACAATCCACAGGCCCATCACTATGCATAATGTCTTGTAATGCTAGAAAATCAATAAGAGTCTTGTGTGAACACATTCAAGTCAACCCTGTGCTCTATATAAAATCTATTTAAATGCATGTTTACATGGTAGACTGTACCTTTAGGACTAAAAAAGTTAAATGTGGAAAAAAAGTGTTTATTTTATAATTGGTGACATCTGATTTTAAGTATCACAAACAATTTCTGTTTCCCAATATATAGTGTGAAGAACATAAGGACTGTGTCACCATGCATCTATTGTGTTGATGCTGAGACCATCAGAGAAATACAGCCCTGTTTTGCCCGCCCATGTGACAGACCCTCAGATTTACTGCAGGCTAGTGACTTGAACCACAAAGGAGCACAGAGGAGACTCATGTACAATAAAGGGCTCATAAAACAGGCCATTTAATGTTTTTTTCCACTGCTGGACTTACCGATAAGACAATGGCTAGAGAAACGCACTGAAAACACAATGTCAATAGGCTGATATCCATGCACTTCACCACCCACACACACACACACACACACACACACACACAATCGTGACTTAAATCTAATGGAGGTCGAATGACTGTCGCCTCTTGACAAGTCTCCAAGACACTAAATCATACTGAACACAACCTCAACATGACCTCTGTGTCTTTTGAATAAAATCACCCATTTTCGAACACAATCAATATTATTACAGGATCAATACTAGAAGCAGATGATCAGATCTCAATTAGCAGTTTTACCAGCCTATGCTTACAATTTTCACATGGGGTACGCAAAATAAATGTTTTATTTATTATTACTTTTTTTTCCCAAAATCTGCTGTACTTAATATATATGAAGATGATCATTTAATATTGTCATTTATGAGAATAAATATTCTCATTTATATTGAGAATATTGTCATTTATGAGAATAAATATTCTCATTTATATTGAGAATATTGTCATTTATGAGAAGTGTTTGACTTGTTGACCACTACCCTACATAAAATAAATGCTATATATTTCTGTCTGAATTTCAAGTGATTGGAAAGGGCATTTCCATTTCTAGAGTTTTATCATTTATCACCCACACCTATTCCCACATAAATAAGAAACTACAACTAAGTAGTTCAATAAGGGATTCAAGTGAATGAACCCTGTTTATCTCAAGCTGTTGTGCCTGTTAAAGCAGAGGCAGATGGCCAGGGCATGTGGGGGAAGAACTTAATGAGCATTAGAGAAAATGCAGCTGGAGATGTAAAACCGAACAGAAAAATAGCCTAAAATTAGCTACATTAAAAGAGACATACAGGTGCATCTCAATAAATTAGAATGTCGTGGAAAAGTTCATTTATTTCAGTAATTCAACTCAAATTGTGAAACTCGTGTATTAAATAAATTCAATGCACACCGACTGAAGTAGTTTAAGTCTTTGGTTCTTTTAATTGTGATGATTTTGGCTCACATTTAACAAAAACCCACCAATTCACTATCTCAACAAGACCAATAAAAAAAAATTTTTTAGTGAATTGTTGGCCTTCTGGAAAGTATGTTCATTTACTGTACATGTACTCAATACTTGGTAGGGGCTCCTTTTGCTTTAATTACTGCCTCAATTCGGCGTGGCATGGAGGTGATCAGTTTGTGGCACTGCTGAGGTGGTATGGAAGCCCAGGTTTCTTTGACAGTGGCCTTCAGCTCATCTGCATTTTTTGGTCTCTTGTTTCTCATTTTCCTCTTGACAAAACCCCATAGATTCTCTATGGGATTCAGGTCTGGTGAGTTTGCTGGCCAGTCAAGCACACCAACACCATGGTCATTTAACCAACTTTTGGTGCTTTTGGCAGTGTGGGCAGGTGCCAAATCCTGCTGGAAAATGAAATCAGCATCTTCAAAAAGCTGGTCAGCAGAAGGAAGCATGAAGTGCTCCAAAATTTCTTGGTAAACGGGTGCAGTGACGTTGGTTTTCAAAAAACACAATGGACCAACACCAGCAGATGACATTGCACCCCAAATCATCACAGACTGTGAAAACTTAACACTGGACTTCAAGCAACTTGGGCTATGAGCTTCTCCACCCTTCCTCCAGACTCTAGGACTGGTACACCGTTGTCGCTTGTGAAATCAAAATGACGGCACCGTGGGTGTAAACGTGCAGATTAAGGGGCGGTAATATTATAATGAGATCCCTTTGCCATGTCACCAAGGGAGCGAAATCAGACGCGCTCGTTTTCTCAGACGCTTGCAGAAAAAGGCTTACCTAAACAAAGTTACTGGGTTAATCTTTTTCACGTTTCCTTGTTTGGTAGATGCACTGGGGACCTGATTATAGCACTTAAAACCTGGAAAATTTGATTTTCATGTTATGTCACCTTTAAATAATTACCAACGTTGCTCTGTAAAATCAGTGAAAATGTATGCACCATTAGTAATTTCACACCGTGTAACGCTGACTTCTTATGTAAAAGCGAAGGTAGACATGACATCACATCCTTTTTTAATCCTGTTGATGGCTCAGGCACAGAATTGTTTCAGGTCACTATGTCATTTGACACCATTCTGTGTTTACTAACTGTTTTCTACACTGAAGCAATGTATGACCTTCTCAGACAAATAAACAGAGCTCATTTCATCAAAATAATTGATAATGCCAATTAGGCTGTGAATCGATATAAATATTTAATCAGTTTAAATATATCATTCTCAGTTTTTTTCATAGATAATGTGTTGCATTCAATTCCTTTTAAAGGAAATTATTTGAAAAAATGCGGAATTACTGTGTTTTAGCAACAATTTGTGCATTAAATGTGTAAAAAAACCTTTGTGTTCATAAACTAGTATGCAAATAATATAATGATTTGTACAAGTAATACTTTTATATGTACACTGCTTATTGTCTCAGTTTGTTTGCTAGTGTTTCTCTAAAACGCTTTGTCGTCTGAGGTAAGCCCTTTCATCAGAGAAAAACATTACAATCAGAGTTTGAAAATGAGCTTGTGCTTGAATACGGTGGCACTGCTAAACTGAGGGCTGTGATTATGGCGGCCACAAAAGAGATTCTGCATTTATATTGTGTTGACTCAGCCTGAGGAGTCTAAAAATAGCTCTCACCGACATCAGAGCACAAGCAGAAAGGAGACAGGCCTGCTGATACGAGTATGGCACTGAATTCACGTCAACCTTCAGATGAAGGGAAAAAAGCATAGATAATGTGCTGCATTCAATTCCTTTTAAAGGAAATTATTTGAAAAAATGCGGAATTACTGTGTTTTAGCAACAATTTGTGCATTAAATGTGTAAAAAAACCTTTGTGTTCATAAACTAGTATGCAAATAATATAATGATTTGTACAAGTAATGCTTTTATATGTACACTGCTTATTGTCTCAGTTTGTTTGCTAGTGTTTCTCTAAAACGCTTTGTCATCTGAGGTAAGCCCTTTCATCAGAGAAAAACATTACAATCAGAGTTTGAAAATGAGCTTGTGCTTGAATACGGTGGCGCTGCTAAACTGAGGGCTGTGATTATGGCGGCCACAAAAGAGATTCTGCATTTATATTGTGTTGACTCAGCCTGAGGAGTCTAAAAATAGCTCTCACCGACATCAGAGCACAAGCAGAAAGGAGACAGGCCTGCTGATACGAGTATGGCACTGAATTCACGTCAACCTTCAGATGAAGGGAAAAAAGCATAAAACCATAAACACAGTCTGTGAAGCCAACCTTTGCTTCAAGGCGAAGTCGATCGATAGTATTTTCAGCTTCTGCATACTTGGTAAGCAGCCTGTTATAGTCCTCCTGGGAAAAAGAGAGAGAGGGGGGGGGGGGGGGGGGGAGAGAAAAAAATATGTTCTTCTCACACAAATTCTTCTTTTTTTGTGTGCATCTTCCTCTACGTGGTCACATGTTCTCAGAGGTTTGACTTATGCTAATCAAAGGTGAATGTGTGTATGGCAGGGGTTAAGAGGAACCTTGTTAACGGAAACCTAGCCTGACATGGAGACAGATGTGAGGATGTGCTATGTGCAATTTTTATTTTAATTTAAGTAGTTGAAGTTAAAACATTCCTGGAAAACCTGAAATTGGGGGGAATTATATATATAGTTATATAATAATATATATATTTATATAAATATATATATATTTTTTTTTTTTATCCACAGTAATTTTACACTTGTCTAGTACAATTATGTCGCTTTGTTTCATAATTGGTGTATACGTTTTTCTTTATTTACCCTCAAAAAATGGAAGTGAAATGTGACAACATGCCCCGTAGGTGGAACACATTGTAACATCTGAGGGGCACGTTGTAACTTGACCATATGACAGCTTAAAATCTTATCTGATCGAATGAAAAAAATATAAAAGACAAACTAAAATATTTTGTTAATAAATATATATATATGAAAAGTTCCAATGTAAAAGCCTCTAAAAGCCATCTTGGTCAAAAATTAGATAACAATACTGAGTGAATGCTCTCCACACATAGTATATGTTCATCAAGTACTTTCACTTCAAATGCGCAAAATCCCAGCCCCAACCCATTCAGAAGTACCAGTACTTGCATAGAAACCTATACATAGTAGCCAGAAAGAAATGGTAATTTTAAAGAAAAACATCAGACGTACTTAGAGGCTTTTGCATCTGAACTCTTTTGCATCTGAACGCTTCATATATATGTGTATATATATATGTGTGTGTGTGTGTGTGTTTGTGTGTGTTGACAAATGTCATTTGTTCCTGTGATGGTAAAGCTGAATTTTCATCATCATTACTCCTGTCTTCAGTGTCACGTGATCCTTCAGAAATCATTCTATTGAGCTAATGAAAAGACATAGATAAAGAAACATAACAGATGGCTTCATCTTTTAGCCTCTTGGATAAATCAGCATAATTTTGAGTGTCAATGTTTGTAACGCTACACTCCCTACATTAAAATAAACAAATAAAATTTGTCAAAACATAGTGCACACTGCAAAGGGAAACTGTATCCCACAATGCAATTCAATTTAAACTTCCCTCTCTAATTCCCTCTCGAATATCAACCACCATTTTAACAGCTCATACTAATTTTGCAAATATGTAAAATATGTAGAATATTACTGTTTAAAATGTTTGTTGTTGCATAATGCATATGGTTTGATTTGCTTTCACAGTATACACTTGGTTCAAAAGTTTGGGGTTAGTATATCTTTTTTTTAAATTACGAAATTAATATTTAATATTTAAGAAATATTAATATTTTTTATTCAGCAAAGATGCATTAAATTGATCAAAATTGACAGTAAAGTCATTTATCATGTTACAAATGATTTCTATTCCAAATAAATTCTGTTCTTTTGAACTCTCCATTCAAAGAAGCCTGAAAAAATAATAACAGTATCCACAAACATATTAAGCAAAAGCAAAGCATTTTAGAATAATTTCTGAAGAGTCATGTGACACTGGAGCAACGGCTTCTGAAAATTCAACTTTTATATCACAGAAATAAATGACATTACAAAATTATTTCACAATGTGTTTTTTGTATTTTATGTGAGCATAAGAGACACAAAAAACATTAAAAAAAAAATCTTACCAACTGTACACTATGCAGTAAATAGTATACTAGCATTTCACTTTAAACAGTATGTTCATGATTTACTTCTTATATACCTGCAGCTGCTGCATCAGTGTGCTGGCCTGCTGGGGGCAGCGGAACTCCTCTGGTACTGTGCTGTGCAGACGCTTGTGGGCCCCACTGATGGAGGGGCTTCCTGGAGACCTATCAGAGCTGCTCAAAAGGACCTCTCTCACAATCTCAGCAGGGGACTTGAACACTACAGGAAGATCCGGGTGTGATGTTCTATCATGAGGAGGTTGACGGCTTTTAGGAGGTTTGTATCCACTCTTTTTCGGGAAGCGTACCCTCGGCTCCACTTTGGAGAAATCAGGTAAAGGGTGACTCAGCTGTCCTTTCCTAAGAATACATATACATCAATAATCAGTTCAAAAATAATGCTAAATTGGACTAAGTATGGACTACTCACATTCTATGTTTAAGTAAATACTCAGTATGGACTAATCACATTCTAAGTTTACTGTATTTTATATAAATATATAATATTTAATACGTACATGTATTTTTTATATAATTTTTTATATTATTTACAGAGAGATTTATATATTGTATATTGATAAGTAAAAACGTATTTTAATTAGGGGTGAACTCATTTACAAATCACGGGTCACATTAATCAAATAATGAATTTGTGTATTTTTCATTTCACCTGACGTCATCTGGATCAGTGTGAGAGGTTTTGTGGTTCTTTATTGCTGAAGACCGGTGAGGTGTAGGAGGTGGCGAACGCTCTGAGGGGGAGACGCTTGCTTTAGAAATGCACTGCGCTGGAATGGAAACCTGATCGTCACAGGAAGCTGGGTTTGTTTTTCTGGGAGAGGGCGTTGGAGGCTGCAGATTGTGATTAGGACAGTGTAGCCCTACTTTTTCTCCACTCATACCATCTTGGTGTGTTTTTCCAAGTCTGATTTTTATTACAGGGCTTCTGGCTGAAGTTTGAGGTGTAATCTTGTGTTTAATCTCCTCCCCTTTTGATCTAACCGTGTGGTATGTTTTAGGGGTTCTAAGAGACGACTCTGCCCTAATGTCTGCCTCTGGAAAAATCTCAGCTTCAATTCCACAGTTATTCATCAGTTCCTCTGAGGACAAATGGGGAAAACTGATGGGATTAGAAGCGTTTCGTGAGATACGATGCGAGACTGGCAGAAATTGCCCATTGGTTTCCTCAAGTTCCTCAGAATCACTTTGCTCAGAATGCTCTGGGATTCCTGAAATTTGAATATTTTCAGAGATCTCACTGTAATCACAGCTCTTCACCCTTTCAAACATAGATGCCATCTCTTCTGTGACCGGAAATGTTTGATCCATGAATCTCTGAGCATCTTCACACGTTTCTTTCTCTTCTGTTTCCTCATCAGTCATGTCTAGCACCGTCTCTCTCTGCGGGAAAGAGTTTAATTTGTGACTGTGGATTGTTGGACTCCCTGTACTGTCCTCATCTTCAGTCCAATCTTCCAACAAAACACTTCGGTCATCTTTTGTTTTGTGTTCTTCCTCTAAAAAAAAAGAGAGAAAGTGAATGAAAACCTTTTAGACCATATGGAATATTTTTATGATACTTATACTACCATTTAACAGTTTGGGGTCGTTAAATTTTTTTTGTCTCTTTCACTCACCAAGCCTGCATTTACAGTATTTGATAAAAAATACAGTAAAAACGGTAACATTGTGAAATAGTATTGCAATTGTTTTTCTATTTATTTTACATGTAATGTATTCCTGTGATGTCAAAGCTGAACAAAGCTACAAGAATACTTTTTGTGCGCAAAAGAAAAAAAACCCCGGAGGAGACGAATTGTTGAATAAAGTCTTTTTTTCTTCTTTTTCTTTTGCACACAAAAAGTATTCTTGTAGCTTTGTAAAATTACGGTTGAACCGCTGATGTCACATGGATTATGTTTCTGGGCCTTGATCGTGTAAGGACCCTTGCTGTCTATGGGAGGGTTTGGAACAACATTAGGGTGAGTAATTAATGTCAACATTTTCATTTTTGGGTGAACTATCCCTTTTTTTTTTGTCTCTTTCACTCACCAAGCCTGCATTTACAGTATTTGATAAAAAAATACAGTAAAAACGGTAACATTGTGAAATAGTATTGCAATTGTTTTTCTATTTATTTTACATGTAATGTATTCCTGTGATGTCAAAGCTGAACAAAGCTACAAGAATACTTTTTGTGCGCAAAAGAAAAAAAAAACCCGGAGGAGACGAATTGTTGAATAAAGTCTTTTTTTCTTCTTTTTCTTTTGCACACAAAAAGTATTCTTGTAGCTTTGTAAAATTACGGTTGAACCGCTGATGTCACATGGATTATGTTTCTGGGCCTTGATCGTGTAAGGACCCTTGCTGTCTATGGGAGGGTTTGGAACAACATTAGGGTGAGTAATTAATGTCAACATTTTCATTTTTGGGTGAACTATCCCTTTAACAGACACGGAAGTGAATGGAATTCAGAGTTCATGTGCATCTGCGTGACTCTCACTTTGTCTACCCTGGACGTGAGCAGTGATGCGGTCTACACTGGATGTGGCGCAGCGCGACACGACAAATCCCCGACAGTAAACTGATGCCGCGTTCTATTTATGATGTACTGACACACAGTTCAGATGATGTGCAAAGGTCGCTTTGTCGCGTCCAGTGCAGACAGACTTTATTGCGGCGCGACATGACGTGTCCGGTGACACGTGTCTGTGTGTGAGCAAAGAAAACGATCAGTATAAATATAACACTCAGTATAGGCTACTAAACATTGCACATCCTGCGATGTGACTATCGCGGATGCGATATATCGTGCAGCCCTATCTCGGAATGCATCAAAAATATCTTAATTTGTGTTTCGAAGATGAACGAAGGTCTTACGGGTTTGGAACGACATGAGGGTGAGTAAATAATGACAGAATTTTCATTTTTGGGTGAACTATCCCTTTCAAGAACGGTAGTGTATCTATGGATAAATTATCCCTTTACACAAAACTTAAAATGTGAGCCCTTACGCAGAGATGGAGAGCGGCAGTCATCTCCAGTGGCCTGAGAGAGCGGCTCAGAGTCCAGCAGCTCACTCAGGTGACAGCTTATCTCCTCTAGTGCAGGTGGTGGCCCATGCTCAGGCTCAGGGGTCTTCACATCCCACAACAGGTCTTCTGCAATCTCCTCCTCTCGTTCCTGATTGACACAATCATGAGATGGTTATTAAACAGTTGCAAGTTTTAAAAAGCACCATTAATCTAGAACCAGGGCATATAAATTGATTAAATGTTTCTAATTAAATACAGTTGAACTCTGGCAAGTGTTTTTAAGTGTAATGAGATTCTTCTGATGAAGAGCCCTGGTGAGACTGCTCTAAATGACCAATAAATGGGCAGATATCAATCAAACATCTCTGATGTCCTCACCTCCTGCTGCCCTTGACTCTCTGCCAGACCAATGATGCCATTCTCATCCATCTGGCTTTGAAAGTCCTCATCTGGTTCTTCATCCCAGCTGAAGTCCGACCCATCTGGGCTTGAGGGAGAGAAGTATGCTGGGGCTGGTGTCCACACCAGAACCCCTGCGGTGTTACCACCTCTACTCCGCTCCATTACCTGGCTCTTTATCGCTCTCCTTTATTCCACCTTGAGCTCCTATACCACCTGCAGCTCAACATTGATATTGATGTCATCTCTAGCAGCTGACCATTTATGAATGTTTTATGAACAGCCTGCGTAATGTCCACTCAAGGGTCATCAAGGTGATTTAACATGACCTGAAAAACACAGAAATATCATATTTTATCATTGTCATTGATCAACTTATGCATTACCAATAACCTTTCATGAGATGGAAAACATTTCACAAAACTAATTACATCAAAGATAAATAATTATCAACTGTTTACAGCAACATTAACAGATAATAAATCAATTCAAGCTGAAGGAGAAGGTGACTAAAGAGATTCGTTCTTAGTGAACATACCCTTAAGCGTCTGCGTAACTCTTAAAAATAGTCTAATTAATGCTGTCATTCATGTACCGTAGCTCAGTGCTAATTGAGCATGATGAAAGTCTATGCAAAGTCTGTAAACAGATGCTCTCAAGTGGAACCACAAAACATCTGAATAAATAATGCAGTTCTTCGCCTGCTTCATAAGCCCCGAGAGAAAGCAACAGAGCGTAAACTTAAAAACAGCAGATATATATATATATATATATATTTTTTTAGATGTACTAAATTCTTAATCACTACAATTATAAAACACTATTCTACCTCAAGTTGCATGCAAACATTAAGATTTTGACATCAAGATTGCCCCCTCACACCATTTTTTTACTTGTCATATTAAACAATAAGTAAACAATAGTCTAGGAGGTGAATCGTATGTAGTAGATGTTTCATCTAGAAAACAACCCACAACCTTCACAGGGCCCTTGGTCACCATGGTGACCACACAACAACAATCTCTGCCATGCACTGCCCGTCTTTAGGCATCAAAGCATCATTCTAAGAACAGCCAATCAGCATTCAGAACACAGCTTCATATAGCAAAGCTGAATAGCTGGAAAAGAACTTTCATAACAAAAGCCCCTTTTATAAAAAAAGCAATGTTCCATTTTAAACCAAACTAAATTAGGTTTACGAGCCTTAAATTGTGTCGCTGCCACATCCAGAGCATAGCTGTGCATACTTGTCATTTTTAAAATCAAAACAAGTGCTTTGGGTCTAAGACATGAGCTAGTCATATTCTGAAAAATTGCAAGTGACCCTGAAAAGACAAGCACACACATTCTTGTAATTTCTTAATAACTACAAGAATGGATATCTCATGTCGTCACGTCCTGTGTGTAGCAGACCTATTTGTGTGGATGTAACTTTTGTTTGTTGCGACACACAAACCGTAGCAATCTGTCAGCATCCTCCGCCTGCGTGAACACAAATGTAGTCGCCGAGGGAGTCTGCTAATCTCCTGAGTGCAGTGCGTTCTGCAGCAAACCTTAATTAAACGCTTGTCTAAATCTCCACCATCCATTCAGCGAGCCTGTGGTGAGCTCAGCCAAAAGCCACACGCATCCTATATATAGATCGTTCACTGTTACTGTACTTAATAGCCTTACCTACATTACAATGCCCCCACACACAGACAGAGCTGAACAGGATTAATAAGACGAACAGTGAGCTCTAAAGCTCCTTAAGGACGAAGAAGATCCACAGGGTCTGAGGACAAATATTTGTGTTCTGAAAAATGTTCTGTTCTGTATCATCTTTCAACATTTTTTCAGTAAGAAATGTACTTCAGATCTATAAATCACTTATTCTAGTTCATATCCCATGTGAAATAAACATACGCAGATTCATGCATGTAAAGTCCTTGATTAAAAATAGAAAAAACTCATAAGATGTTTAGTTTTTCGCTTTTATTTATGTTATGTATAATTATAAACAACTGCAAAACATTGAAATAAACAACAACTGGGTAGTTGATAAACAACATGAATTTGAATCAAATTTTTTGCTTTTTTTCATATTAAATTAATATAAATATAATAAATTGTACACCCATAATAATAATTATAAAATATCATATAAGGCTGCAATGAATTCTAATAATTAACCAATAAAATTAGATATCACATCACATATGTTGTATTTCATTACATACTATAATAAATAATAATAAAGCATATCCAAAGGCATTTTATATACGCCTTTGGATATGCTTTATTATTACATTTCAGAGCCATGTATATACTATATCATGTATAATATAGTATGGTTCTGAAATATAAATACTATATAAAATGTATAATTCATTTATTAGTATTATATGTTTTTATATGTTATATAGGAAGCTCTTGTTTCTTAGTTATAGGTACAACACACTTGTACAACTTGACTAACGAGCAGAAGGAGGTTTAACCTGTTGATCAGGAGCAAGGACAGTTGCGAGTATGCACGCTATTCAGCAGTGAAACACAAATACTGTTTGAGACATGCAATCTGTTATGAGGAACTTTAACATGCAAAGCTCCCCTGACTGTAGTGTTTTAGCATTGCTTACCTTGAACATTATCACTGTCTTCCAGGGCAAAAGCAGCGCTCTTCATGTGAATGCATGAACTTCAGACTGTTGCCTTGAGAACAGCACACAAACTAACACCACCAGCCAGTCCTTCCATCACCAAGCGACGAGGCAAACATGGACTTCTCACCTGCTCTTTGTCAAATGCATTTAAGTTAGCTCAAAGGTCCAGGTTGCTTTTACTTTTGTTGTTGTCCCAATCTTCAACTCGCGTTGTGCTGCTCGAGCTCTGCCAAACCGGCTCACTCCACGCGACTAGTTTTATTTCACTTTCCACTTAAATATTCAAGTACAAAGCGAATTGTGCCAGGCTTTTGTATTCTAGAGTGAGAATCTTGAACTTTTCTTGCAGAGTCCTTCCATCACCAAGCGACGAGGCAAACATGGACTTCTCACCTGCTCTTTGTCAAATGCATTTAAGTTAGCTCAAAGGTCCAGGTTGCTTTTACTTTTGTTGTTGTCCCAATCTTCAACTCGCGTTGTGCTGCTCGAGCTCTGCCAAAACGGCTCACTCCACGCGACTAGTTTTATTTCACTTTCCACTTAAATATTCAAGTACAAAGCGAATTGTGCCAGGCTTTTGTATTCTAGAGTGAGAATCTTGAACTTTTCTTGCAGGAAAACCCCTAACACGCTACAACAAAGGCGAAGGATTCATTAATTATGCAGCATTAAATCTATGAAGAGCGAGCCGTTGATTTGAAGGCGGGGCTTCGTTGTCAAAATAAACAGAACGCTGGATTGAGCATTTTGATTGGCTCCTCGACGAAGAAGGCGGGGTTTACAAAAGTACAAGACCTTTCATATTGTCCACATAACAATTACTATGAAACTATGAAATAGACTTTCTCTTTAGGATGTCCTCATTTTGCTGGACACAGAGCAACATGCTTATTTATAGTCATAAATCAACGTACTATAAAGTGTTTGTTGTGATACCACTGTCAGCCACATGATGGCGCCATAAAACAGCTATTCAAACTACGTAGCTCAGTCATTCTTGAGACGTGGGACAAAACGGGTCTAGCAAGGGTAACTGCTATTAGCTTTAAAAAAATAAAAATATTTTTAATTTTAAATGTCATGAGGGATTAATAATAGAATGTATTTAACACAATTATCACCTTCATTTTAATTTTCTCATTATTATACCAAATCTGTGTTTCTTAATGTCCTACGTCTAAAACAGTGTGTCCACAGAGAAGGGTTCGATCATTCAAATGCAGTAAAATGGATATAAATGTTTTTTTAATGATGAAAAAGAGCTTGTTTTATCAAAAGCAACACTTGATAATATCTTCTATCAAAGCAATGTTGTTGTTTTTTAATGACATGCATGTTTCATAAGATTTTAAAGTTGCGTCCCCACTTTTTGTCGACACCGTCAGACATTCAATAAAATGTAATAAAATCAGGGAATAT